GTTGCCCTTCATAGAGGTCCCGTCATGAAATGTAGCTGGAAAAAAGTTTGTTGTTCCCCTCTCCATTACGCAGCTTATCGATTCATCCGAGTTCCTGTTCCTTTGTTTGGCAACCTTCCGCCTATCACCCACGCATTTTAAAAAGATTAGAATCATCAATTGCTATTTATAAGGCGATACAGGCTATGACAATGAATTGCGTATATTCTGTCAACATTTGGCGGATCTAATCTGCAGTGATTATTCATTCTATGAATTTGGAAACACCAATTCCATATTAGGAAAGGCCAGTAATAATGCATACACATCGGAAATTTGTGATAAGAAACCGAAACGGGAATGGATGTCATCTTGGAGATTCCTGTTTACTGCAGGACTCCTCTTGGAGGTTCGTTTTTCCAAAAGGATGTTGCTGCTTGACGTCATAGACACCTAGTGATACGATACAGGCGGAGATCAGCATATCCTTACAAGCAGATGATGGTGCCCGTTGCCTGAGAGATCCGCAATCCCATCATTCACTGTTGTTCTGTCACTGCCCCCTTGGTACAAAGATTCGATTTGTTCGCAAGCTGAAGGAGAATGGTTCTCGACTCACAAGATAAGAAAAGCAAGTCGTCCATGACGAGAGGATTCTGGACCAAACTCTGTCCTCACATAACATGCAGGTTAAGTAGAATCCAACCGAAGACCAGGATTGGTCGTCGATGGTTTCGGAAGTTGTGCTGATTTATCTTAGACCAGCAGTTAAAACTTCGGCTTCCACCTCTACCACCATTGATGGATCGCTCGACAAGGGAATAAAACTGAAAGTTCATTCTAAGCGGTACACCTAACATGACTGACAATAAAAGCTAGTTAGAGATCCTTATAAGATGGCTTACATCCGCACGAGCACAAAAAACTTATATTCACATCAAAAAGGAAGCAGTTTAAAGAAATGTCCTCGAGAGTTACGCGAATATAACATCCCGCTATGGGGAAAAGCGGGACTATCTCTCTATGATATGGAAATGATCACGGAAATCGAAAATTTTCTAAATCAATACTTTCCGTCTTACAACAACAGTTCCAAAGGGTAGTGGGTTCAAAATGCTTCCAACAGCGCTACGACGTGCACAACACGGGATAGCACCAAACTCAACTCCCTTCGAGCTGAAAGAAAAACCAAAAGCAAAAATTATGGAGCACACACATTCTTCGTAATCCAAATGACATGCTTTCTTCAAAAGAAAAAAATTGCTGACAAGTGGAGGATCTCCTTATTGGTCATCATCTTGTACAAGAGATGACTAAAATGAAATATGCAACTGATGTCTGCTTTCCTTGTTGTATTTTCCGCAAACACTAGACGAAGGTTATCATATCGTACACACCAAATAATCCATTTCTCGATAGATTCTGCTGCCTAGACTATATGTGAACTCTGCATAGGGTCATAGAAAGCTAGCTCTCGGAAATATTACATATCCCATTGCCCACTACGAAACACGGTTCAACAGTGTCGAAACGAATACAATCCCATCAGCACTGGTTGATCGAGGAGTGGACCAGTCCTATCGTAGAACCATAGCTGGGTATCGTAACAGTGGAACGATAATACAGCTTTTCGATCAATCTCTTCCTTGTATGAAAATAGTCCAACAGAATGATTCGACGAAGCTGTTTACCTCCATGTTGCAACCAATAATGAATCCGTTCGTTGAAGAAACAAAAGACCGTATTGACCTCAAATTTCAATCAAACGTTCGCCTTGTTGACTACATCGTCACCTTTCCGAAGAATAACAATGAAGCATACATGATGTTCAATGAGCTCAAGGGAAGGAAAAAAGTAGATTGAGATTAAATAAAAGGAATACCCAGTATATAAAACCTGTCAGACCAAGGCAACCTAATTGATTTTGGAGTCGTCGTATTAGAGAGACATATTACGTGAACTTAGGGTGTTCCACTGAATTGGGTATGGAAAACAACATGATGAAGGAACTACGCAGAAGAAGAACAGACGAGAAAAACAGCAAAGTGGATTTCAAACTGGATGCAAGCTATCGTCACGAAAACTACTGCAAATAGTGCCTTTTCTCGGATTTCTAAAGAGTTTCTGGATTACTAATCCTTTTTTAAGAGTGTTTAGTTGTTCAACAATAATAATTTCCACCAATTACATGTTCAGCACCGTGGCTGCCGGATATTTTTTCGTATTGGGTTGAGGTGTTTAGCGGAGTGCCCATCTTTCAGCAGAATTACTTGCTAAGGAGTTCGTCATTTTCATCCGATAGCACAGCTAAGAGTAAAACTATGATACTTGCCCAAGTTATCTAGTAATTAACGGCATTACAGGCGATAAAAGGAGCGCGTAGAGCAGTGGTCGGAGGCGCCCTGCGACACACACACATGAGGTCGATCCTTGTCCCTGTGGCTCACCAAGCCTTCCATCCTCTCGAGGTCGGCAAATTGGTACCAAGCAAATTAGTACTTGTCTGGGAGGATAGCAGCACTGACTGGATACATTGGTAAGTCACTGCGAGTCATCGTATAGACCAGATATACATTCAATCACTCCTAACGATGCTTAATGAAGTCGAATGCATGGTGCATCCCTCATGGATTGATCAGGGTCGAGATCTTTATCCTTCATTTTATGTATAGGTAGCTTTGTAATAGACAAATGACCTTTCGAAAACAAAACTGCGATAACCCAATTCCAAAGTTGCTTCCTGTTCATTTTAGCTGTCCTCACCTGCACATTATCATCGAAATACATGAATAAGTTATAAGCCGAATACGCAGCGAACCCAATAATATTCAGCAACAAGAAGTCGAAGTTCAAGCCGACCACACTGCAACCAGTTGCATTTTTTCTTGGCGTAACCTTACTCCATTGTTTTTTTACAACCTCTGTCTGCGGATATTAAGAAAAATTTGTGGATAAAATGAGATGCTCCACGCAAGAAAGTACGACCATCCAACTAGAACCACCAGTAGAGCGACGACTGACGATCTCAGCACAGTTACTTTCAGGAAGAAATCCTCCATCCTGGAATAATTCTTCTGTTTCACAGGTTATACTTTCTATTCATTAGCACCTTTCTGTGTTTATATTAACTCATAAAAAATCGCCGATCGAAGGAACCGTCAAATGTCGGCTGCGATATGTATGGAAGCACAATCAAAGTACCGAGTGGTCCAAACAGGCTGAATGTTTCGGGCAACAAAAATTTGACTAAGTCGTCCGCATAAATCAGATAAACCCACATAGGTGGTACTATCACTAATAAAGGGAAACGCTAGTTGTCTTAGAATTTATGACGTCCATTACTGGTTCTAAGGCCCATCCGTTCTAAATTCTAACGGTGGCCGTACATCTGGTGCGTATAGATCGGTGACATGTTTCACCCAATCATATTAATGGTCTCAGACGCTTTGAGAACAGCATAGAACCAGCCCATGAACCTGGATTTAGACCCTCACTTACACCGCATTGCAGTCCGTGTTGTTCGGCGTGCCGCCGACACAGCTCGCAACCGTCAGCACCAGCTCGTTGATGGGGCGCTCGCCAACGAGCTGCAACTGTCCTTCTCTGCTTGCTGCGTACAGCGTCAGTGGGGCGAGGACAGTTACATACGGCTGCTTCTTGAAATGAATCACGATGTCATTCTGGATCGGCACTCTGAAACAGATCGCTAATAGTTCTTCGGTAACAACTACGTGGTTCTTCTGAACTAGGAACACACAGAATTGAAACACTGAAGTTCTGTGAAGTATTGTGCTACGATAAAGGAAATAACGAAATAGTCGAAAAAACACAGGCTGTAGGCCAATAAGAAGTGTGCCAGTTCTCCTCCAAGACACCAATGTACGCATGTGAACCCGGAGTGCTTGCTCCGGGTTCACATGCGTAATTAATAAAGTCGAATGCATGGCGCAGACGGTGATGTACTGGAGCTTGTTTTATCGCACCAGTACATCACCGTCTCATTTTTTATTTATATTTTCTCTTACTATTAGGTAAATATGATACGGGCGCGTGCTTTGCAGTGGTTGGAGACGCCACTGTGACACACACATGGGATCGATCCACACGCCTATGGCCCACCAAGCCTTCCATCCCTCCGGGGTCGGCAAATTAGTGCCAGACTTGTCTGGGAGGATAACAGCACTGGCTCGATACATCGGTAGGTCACCTTTAGTGATTGTAAAGGCCAGATATGCATTCAATCACCTCCAACGATAATTAATAAAGTCGAATGCATGGCGCATCCCTCAAGGATTGATCAACGCCGAGAGCTTTTTGAGGTTTATTAGGTAAATAGATGCATCTTGCTTATGGCTGAAAAAAGATTGAAGTACCCAATGACGTAAAAACCCGCTCTAATCTTCGGTAGGGACTGCGTGAAACGACGCTTTTCTTTCTCGTCCATTCACGCAATGAGTCATATTCCACCCACGCCGGAGGAAATAAACCTTATGTATGAGTTGTGTAAACCGCCCTCATTGGTAATAGTCTTTGTGTTGCTTCTTCCGCACAAAGTTCAGTTAATCGTTTCGTATGCCGGACTCCGCCCATTCTACTGCGCTCCTCTCACTATCTCTGTATCCTCCCTTAACAGAAACGGTCTCTACGGTGTCCTCCTGCTTTTCAAGTCAGTCGGAAAAGAAATCGTCCGAAAAACTGTTTTTCTGAAACATTAACTGTATAGAACAGATTTTGCTATGAATGCAAAAAGTTTAGCAAGAAATCACAATGTCAACTTTTTATTTGACGCCCACTACAATTTTCCACGGCAGGAGATTATGTGAAATATCACTATAATGATGCTGAGATATTTGCAGAACTCCGGACCGCAGTTGTGTGCGGTGGGGAACGAACGCGATATTTTCCTTTTCGGGGGCTACCGCATTAACCACCACACCATGCGGGTCTTTCGTTTCATCTGTTTCTCAGCTAGTTTTCTATCTACCAGCGTCATCAGCAGTCACCCGTCAACCGGGTTTATCTGGGAGGCAAAACCGGCATTGAAGCCAGTTAAGCTGAGGCCTGAAAGGATAACAACGCGTTAGATTGCCACCGCAGACATCTGCGGCCCGGAGCTTTGCAAATATTTCAACATCATTATGGCTATAGCAAGGAAGCTCTATGGTACAAAATAGGCAGCCGAGAGTACTTTCCATACCTATGCCGGCACAAATACAATCAGTTAGATATATTCATACAGAAAAAAAAACTGATGATGCGGTTATGAGTTGTAGACGTCAGTTATTCAGAAGACTCTGCCATTTAGTTTAACATTTTGGAGCGCTCAATGCCCATCGTTAGTATGTATGCGTGCACCGACAGCCGTCAATCTCATATATGAACTCTTCCAAAGATTTTCTCCACTTCGTATATTAAAAAATAAAAAGTATTAGTAGCCAACTGCTGTAAACATAAATATTGAAAAATTTCAAAAAAGGAGTAAAATTAGTCAACCTTAATAGAGTTGAATAAGTGGCTACTGTATTATGCTCTAGCGCTACATTTCTTGGCCAGCCAATCTTAGATAACTTTTGCACCAATTTACAGACCCCGTAGGGATGAGGCGCTTGGCTGGTTGGGGCAGAGCCGAACTATCGTCTTACGCGTATTGAACGGCATTACTGCTAGTGAGCTATAAGCACCCGGCAAACGTTGATGAAACCCAAGTAATATTAATAATATACTGGATAGTTGTTGTGGGATTGAAGTGAGTTGTATCGATAGAAAAGTACTCTACAAATTCGGTTTCGAAAATTCACATATTATTAAAAAAAAAAATAACGGATATGCAGCCAAAGAAAACAGAGAGTTCCTTTTGCAGTTATAGCTGCACAGACTCGATGGAGTAGATGTAAAATCGGAATCATCAAAACACTGCAATTAGCACTCACACTGTGGTCAAGGTATAATTCGTGACTCGATTCAAGAAGACGTCGAAACGCGACGGTGAGAGGGTGCTCCTGAGCGGAGCGACAATGCGGACCAGAAGGACGACGACAAAAAGCAGTGGAACGAGGAGCATTCTGAAATATGCAGTTGTCACTAGAATGGATCGTAAATGGACGGAAGGCACAAGAATAAGACTGATAAGCGTGGAAATCCTGAATGCATAAAATCGTCAGATGCAAGCGGACCTTTAAAGCAGCATGCCGTTCTTTGACGAATAGGAACAAGCGTTAGAAAAATTGTTCAAGAAGGGAAAAAAGGATTGTATAGTCAGCGGACTTTGTACGGCCAACAAGACTTCGTCAAACTTGAAACGAGAGAAGAAGCAGGGCAATTTCGTAATGAAACAGTAACACTTACGATAGTAATCAAATGATGTACAAGACATTATTCGCATGACAAGTTCAATGTGTAGTAAACTTTTGGTTCGGAATAGGTACGCCATTTAGGCAACCCAGGGGTTCTGTGTCGTTCGAACGACAATAACTTTTTGTGCAGCCTATTGATTACTGGATAGTTTGATCTTTAATAAACAATACCACACAGCTAGTCAGCATTTTTCAAAACTGACCACAGTTTTCTCTCGACGCGAATAATCAATGATTTTTGGGTTATCAAGCTAACACGAAGTTATTACCAAAGTTTTATTCAGTTAACATTTCGACGCTTTCGCCTTTTTCAGATCAGGCATGATCAGCGTGCTGTTCATTCCTCCAATGTAAATCCTCGTAGTCGCATCGATTAGCCATGCAAAGGTGAAGTGACTGTCGGTTTTGAGAAATATTCATTCACTATGAGCCAGCTAATAGCTAGAGACTGCCGCAGGATGCATTGCCACCATGACAATAGATCAAGATGAAGAGCAATGGGTTAGCAAGCGTCTTATGTAAACGAACCCCGCTGAGTGAGAACACTTCATTCGAACGGTGCCCAACTCTACTGAATTCAACTCGATGCTACCATAAAGAGCCACATCGGCAGAACGAACGTCTATGCACAACTGGCACTAATCATCAAGACTCTGAAGAAGGCGAAGGCGCTAAAACGTTAGTGGAATAAGACTTTTATAACAATCTCGTCATAGCTCAATAATCCAAGAAAACATCTCATGGTGCGTTGCAATGCGTCGTGATCATCTGAGAACCCACCTCAGCAGTTTTAAATCACCTGTTTTCGCAGATTCTGTGGTGATAAGGAGAGAGAGCTTCCCGTTCAAAGAGTGCGGTTCAAAGAAACGTGAGTGACCGACGAAAACCTAGCAATTCATGCGCATTCATTCTCTTGGGCATCAGAGTTGATTAGTAAACTTCCTTCGTTCAAGACACAACAAAAGCATCACAGTACTGGACTGGAAACCTGTGTACAGTATACCTGTCTTTGCCATGAAAGTGCTGAACTCAAGGATAACTTGTCACACTTCAACAGAGTAGACGAGGTGGTTATTTAAAATATGAAGCCACCTCCACGTATTTTACAGTCACTTTGTTGAGGAATGTCTGTTTTCTTCACAAGCATATACGAGGCTCAAAACGCAAATTGAAAGATTGGACATGCGACAGCGATTAGCACAAAGCCTTGCCATCGCTTTCATGTCTAAGGTGGAAGCTCCAGTTCTCGATCGCCGAGTCTTACTCCACTGCCGATATATTGACGACTCCTTTGTCGTGTTCCACACAAGAACAGATTGGCGAGTGCTCAAAGCCGTTAGATAGACACTCGGAGTATATAAAATTCACGAGGGAAAACCAACCCAGAACTCAGTTCTATTCTTAAACGTCCAAATAAAGCTTTCACAAAGTGGTTATATAACGAAATAGCATCGAAAACTAAGTAACAAAAATTTACTACTGCACTACCTCTCCTCACACCCGTCAGACAAGAAAAAGCACTTATTAAAAACATGTACTGAACGGCTGAAAATGTGTGCACAGGAGAAGAGGAAAGGAAGGAATAGCAAACCCTGGCACGAAAAATATCCATTTCCAATGGCTACGAAGTAGAAGCCACTCGGGTTAGAGAAAAACGTAGGGTAGTTCCCCAAAATAATATTTCGTACCTAAGTAAGATCCCTTTTAAGCTACCCTTCATATCAAACGAAATAAGATACGCCAATAAGAGGTGCCTAAAAAAGGTGGTCTTGAAAATTATGTGGTGGTTATTGACCTCCCACCCTACAGTCTTCGCCGTCAACTAGTCCGCAACCGCCTCTATATCGTTTGTACAGCTCAGAAAACTAACTGTGTGATCTGTCATAACGGCAGAGACGGGGATTGCATGACTGCAGGTACAATACATTTGAAACATGTAAAACGTGCGGTGTGGAATACATTGGGAAAACGCGTAGACCACTTTGTGTCCGCATAAAAGAGCATCTGGATGGGAAACTTAACGTTCGACACACTACTCCTTTCGGTACACATATGGCACAACAGCACAACGACGATGGTTATGAAGTGACCGTCGTGAGTGTCGTGCAGGAATCAAAAACATCAGTGCTGAAAACTCTCGAATCATTCTGGATAGATTCCAAAGATCCACGAATGAACGCCGGAGAGGAATGTCTCGTTATTAAGCTTGATATCATACAATATCTCAGAGTAATATTTTAAAAAGAGAGAGACGCATTATCCGTCGATGTGAACTCAGCGGAATACTCAAAGGAAGTCTCATACAAAGCGGTGAGCTTACGAAAAAGCCATCTTGTTTTCAATGCAATTGAAATCTAGGTTACGCCGTCTATCTGTTGGGGTAATTGAGGTGCTTCGATGACTAGAGCGCTGTCGAATTGACCTTGGCTCTGAAGAAGACGAAAGCCACCAAAACGTCAGCTTTTGTGAATAAAGAATTTAATAACAACCTCGTACGTCCTTATCAAGAAGACAGTAAATTGTCGATCGATGTACAGGTTGATCAACAGAATGTGGATCCTGGGAATCATTGAAGACTTTTGGCTGAAATAATGAGCAAGATGCGATCAATGTAAACGTAAGTACACTCATGCACACATGTTAAACGTGTTAAGTACAAGTATTGAAGAAGCACATTGAAGGAAGAAGTCAGTATGATCTCGACATTCTTGTTGAGCAAACACGAGATGTTACTATATTCTTTATTCCGTTAAAGCAGACATTTCAGCAGTAGCGCCTTCTTCAGAGCCTGGAAGGGTATATTGATAGGCAATTTACTACGCCAAACGCTTCAACAGCACCAACAGAAAGATGAAAATCAATATGGCAATCACGTAATCGATAGCTTCTCAAAAAGCCCACCGTTTTTTACATGCTTTCCACCGAGGAAGAACAGCTGAGCAAAGTCGCATATGGTCGATTAATGCACCACCCCACATCAAAAGTCGATGCGAAGGTACGGGATGAGATCACGTGTGATCTCAGGGCATTCGTCCCTGCTAAGACAGTATCGCTTAGGAGAGACCGAACCCCTGACCTTGACTCCAAACGCAAGTAAAAATAACTTCACGGTCGCTTTTGCTCCCTGTTTAAACCTTTCCGACCCGCTATAGACGTGCTACGACTAACCAAGATTCTCACATGAGTTGATCTACCAAGCAGCATGAATAGTCCACATTTGGCTTTCTACTAACACATAGCCGTACACACAACCTCTGCAGCTCAGGCTCAGGTTACGAGTACAATTAATTTTTCTCCACGTCCGTGGTACAATAATGAATGAACAACATGGCATAGAGGGTAATGATATTGTTATGTCGCAATGATCCAATTACATCGCTTACTCATCAAGAGACCGAAATAGTACTGTACTTTTACACAACAAATTACTACAGCACTAGGTTACTGTAGGATTTCAAGCACAATAAATAATTCGTATGAAATGCTGAGATATTTGCAAAACTCCAGACCACAGGTGTATGCAGTGGGGAACGAACACGCGCTGTTGTCCTTACCGGGAAGCAGCGCACTTCACCACTACACCATCCGGGTCCATGCAAAGCGAAGGACCCGGTTGGTGAGAGCCCAGATCAATCCCGTTGACGGGTGATTGCTGATGGCAAAAAGATCGATAGAACTAGTTGAGAGACATGCAAAGCGAAGGATCCGGATGGTGAGAGAGACCCGGATGGTGTAGTGGTGAAGTGCGCTGCTTCCCGGTAAGGACAACAGCGCGTGTTCGTTCCCCACTGCATACACCTGTGGTCTGGAGTTTTGCAAATATCTCAGCATTTCATACGGGTTATAATTCGAAACATACCCTGCCATTAAGAAGAAAAAGGCAGTAAATAAAAGAGTTAAGACAATAAATTATGTTTAGGGAGTTTTTCTCTCTGCATGACACAGTCCTTTATTTATGACTGACCTAATACCTAAAAACCCACTACATTTTCCCTAACGTTTTTGTTTTCATATCAATGCGTGTTAAATTCGGGACAATGGAATCGAACGAAACAAATACGGTCGATATCTATACCAAATCGGACTCGAATGTAAATCCACCGGGGCGGCACGCGGTGGTGTTTCACCAAGACGTTGTTAACAATCGTTACACCGTTTGCTTTAGAAACACTTTGGTAGAGATGAGAAGCTCGAAATTGTCAGATTATAGCAGATACATTTTTTGCGATGCGAGTGCGCGTAACTAAGACAACAGTGACTTAACTCGGACCGCAGGTGTCTGCGGTGGGAAACGAACGTGCTATTACTCTTTCCGGGAGCTAACGCGTTCACCACCACACCATGCGCTTCCTTCGTTTCACCTTTCTTTCAGTTAGTTTTATATGTTACACTAATGTCATCAGTAATCACCAGTGAATGGGACTGACCTGGAGAGCCCGAATCGGCAATGAACTCAAAATTGTAGTAGGTAGTTAATAAAAAGTTAAGATTAAGAGAACAGTTTTTAACCGTTGGAACTTGATGAGAAAGTCGAGGCATGACAAGTGGACAAGGAAAACGCAGAACTAATCGTAATGAGACTTGCTGTGGGCATTTCGTTCTTCGACTCGCTGTTACATACCGACTAAAAGCGGGTTACTACGGGTACCGACGACATTTCGCGTTGGGTTTGGCCAAGGACGAGGCACCGAAATAATTCCCGACGCCA